ATCCGTAGTCCACGGATTGGTTCCGGATTGAACCTCACGGTTCCGGATTGGAACCGATCCGGACCGTATACAAATAGTCTATATTTTTATTATACATCCTCCCCCATAGTATCTTCTCTTATTCTATATAAAATCTAAACTCAAACCTAAACCTCGTATAATATCTTCTTTTATTACTTTTGTTTTTTAGTTTTTAGTTTTAATTTGTAATGATCTAAATACTTATGATGAAACTAGTTTTTTTATGATTGTTTAAATTCTAGAACATTATGTCGCTATTATAAAAAAACATGTTGCTATTGTAGAACTAATATAGCGCTATGTTTATATTTTTATAAAATTAAAGTATTATATATATATATATATATATATATATATTTTTGTTATTTAATTATGTGAATCCGTGGTCCTAAACCGATCCAATCCGTGTTGAAATGGATTGGTTCGGATTGGTTCCAAGATTTAAACGGATCGGATTGGTTCCGATTTTTCAGGAACCGTAGATAACGGATTGGTCTTGATTTTATCCCAATCCGGTCCAATCCGGACCATGCTCACCCCTAACTTCAATGGTGTACTGTAACTTTCATTAAAACGCACTGGATGTCCGAGGGGACGACCGATCGATCGACCGAAAAGAGTAAAATCTGTACAATTCTGTAGTTGAATTTTCAAGCTTGAGGGTCATCCGAGGGGTCAACCTCCAGTGTAAAATCTATACAAAATTTTGCAAAAATTGGTCATCTAGTAGTGAAAATACAACGGTAATGAATAGTGTTTTGGTGAAAGACCCAATGCATTCTCAGTTTGATAAAACTTTTGCTATTTTCTCAATTTGATATCGATTTGGTTAAATCATTGGAGCACAAAAAATCTATCTTTTTCACCAAATTCAAATTTGGTGATGAATTTGGTGAACCATTAGAGATGGCTTAATAGGAGTATGGGTTTGGATAAAATTTTAAAAAAATAAATAGATAAAATATTTAAATATAAATAAAATATAATTATATTTTACAAATTTTTGATAAAATTTCTACCTAAATTTATATTCCAAACACCAGTGAAAAAGAGCATATTAGAAAATAGAAGAAAGGGGGAGGAGGTTGCGATGAAAGAGCACATTAGAAAATAGAAGAGTGGGGAGATAAGGATTAAAAATAAATGAATAAAAAAGAACAAAGAGTTGTACGAAGGGGATGAGGTGATAAAAAAAAAATATTAAATTTAAATATAATGGTGAATCGGTGATATTATTTTATGTAATTTAATTGGTTTATAAAAAAATTATAAATAGAATTAAGTGAACTATTATTATCTTTCACTAATGTTGTGGTGCTTAATACAAATTAAAATTACTCATGAAATAATGATGTAGTTACATAATATGATAGTTATATATTTGATGAGGTCGAAGAATGGAATGGGCAGTAATGGTGGGTGGCAGGAAAATGGTGGAGAGTACAATAAAATGGTGGATGAGTGGTAGAAAGTGCGTGGTAGATAATGAGTGATTGGTGGTGATGGGTTTAGAACATGTCGTACGGAAAAACATATAAAAAAGAATGGTTGAAGGTCACAATTTGTGTGGTTCAAATGACTCAAAACTGTCAAAACGATATCGTTTTGGCATGTTTTGTGCTCAAAACGACGTCATTTTGACAGTTTTGAGCCATTTGAGCCACAAAAATTGTGACTCTCTACCATTGCCCTATAAAAAATTACAGCTCATTTTGGTAAAATAATTTTTTTATCTCATTTGATAAATTTATTTTTATTTAAAAAATAATTATTTAGTCACTCAAGATTTTTTAAATAAATTAAACTTTGTTAAATAAATTCATTTTTAAATATTTCTTTTGTAAATTTATTTGTAACCAATAAATTAACTTTTTAATAACTCTCATTATATATATTTAAAAAAAAAAAAACTTAAGGTATTTCTTTCATAAGCTATAAGCAAAAAAATTACACTAAATAATTTGACAAAAATTCTTAAAATTAAGAAGCGTAAACAACTCCAAACATAGCGATGGCTATTGGGTGCAATTTATAGAGTTACTTATATCTTTTTACAAAAATGCTTTAGACCACTAATTAGTTGTGGCTCTAATGATGTGGCAGTGGATCCCACCCACTGCCACATGTGTTTTGTGCCTTGTTTTTTTTTTTTTTTTTTTTTTATTGCCACCTCACTAGTGATGGGGTTAGTGATGATAAATTAGTGGCCTATAGCATTGCTCATCTTTTTTTTATTTAATAAATATGTGTTAAAAATAATTAATGCAACTTCTATTTGCAATTTACAAGACATATAAATTTTAAAAATAAATTATTAAAAAGCAAAAAAAATGTGATTTAAAATTCTATTTTTTAATTACTAACTTTCAGCTTATTAAACTTTTCATCTTGGTTAAAGTTCATAACTTGTACTTAGGAGTGTGCGGGGTGCGGCTCGGACGGTTTGAAAGGATAATGCTAGAAGTTTCAAATTTACTAACTTTCAGCTTATTAAACTTTTCATCTTGGTTAAAGTTCATAACTTGTACTTAGGAGTGTGCGCGGTGCGGCTCGGACGGTTTGAAAGGAAAATGCTAGAAGTTTCAAATTTTCTACTAAATAAATGACCAAATGTCTCACATGGGTGTGGGGCCCACAAAATTGCGGACCCCACACCCATGTGAGACATTTGGTCATATGTTTAGTAGAAAATTTGGTGTCCCTAGCATTACCCAATTTATAAATCAAATGGCGGGTTAGCGGATTAGCGGATTGACAAATTGCGGTGTGGGCGGTTTTTGGCGGATTGGCGGATTGAAGAATATTCTAACTAATTATTATACATTTGCATAATATATAACACTAATTTATATAATATTTTTTAGATATATAACACAAAGTAATTTTACATAATATGTTTTATATATATAGCCACTAATTTGTAATAAATTTCTTATCTTAAATCTCTCTCACACTCATTTTTACATTGATATTTCATTAGAGGTTAAAAAATATATATATGTATTAACTATAACGGAGCGGAGCGGTTCGGTTGACGGATTATAAATTTTAAAGTTTAAACCGCGGTTAGCGGTTAGAGCGGTGCGGATAGATGCAGATCGGTGCGATTTTAACGGATTGGACGGTATTTTGTACAGCCCTACTTGTACCCACCGAGAGTTGACTGTTTATTTACTTTTTACAAAACCCTTTGTATATTATTTTTGAAAAAAAATTAAATTCATTTAATAACGATCACATTATCACTAAAAAAATAATAAAATATATTTATAATAGGATTTGACTTCTTTCACAATTTTAGAAAGCGTTTAAATTTGATAGATCTATTTTAAAATTAATTTTGGTAATTCTATTCATTCACTTTTTTTAGATTCATTGAATAAAATATTTATGAAAAAAATTAAGATAATTAGACTTTGATAGCTATGTATTTGAATTATATTTGTTTTAAAAAAATGAACGACAAATATAATTATAAAACTATCCATCCATTTTTTATAATACAAATTTGATTCAAACATATAACTACTAATATCTAATAATTTTGATTTTTTATATGAGTATTCTATTTAATGAATCCTAAATATAAACAATTCAAATTATCGAAACAAGAATTGTAATGAACTTCACGAGTCCCTCAAATTCTCACGTGTTGAGATATTAACATGAAAAAAAAGTACAACCACTTGTAAAAATACATTTGTACTTATTTTCAAGGAGAATAAATAATAAATACACTTTTTAAGATTTATTTAAAATATAATTTAAAAAATTACAAATACTCTATTGTCATAATTTTTTATTTAATAGAATTAACTAAAAAAATAAAAATTTTAACCACTCTCATATATAATAATAAAATTATTTAAATTATTAATTTAAACATATTTTTAATATAATTAAAATTTTTAATTAATTTGATAATTTATTAATAAAAAAACTAATTATTATAAAACTTGAAAAATATATATATTTTAAATAAATATCAAAAAATAAATTTACAATTTACCCTTCCAGAGACAAAGGAATAAAATAAAAAATTATAATTATTGAATCCAATAAATTTATTTTTACATGAATAGTCATATAAATTTTAAATTTTAAATCATCGAAATGAGATTGATGATGAGTCATGAACCCAAAACAGATATCTCAAATTCAAGAGCATCTCCAACCCATTAGGCATATCATGCTTGTTAGTCAAAATGCCTAGTATAACTTATTTTTTTCAACTCCAATGCACTAGGCATATGATTAGACATTTTAGCTCAACTCACATTCACTAGCTACATGTAACTAGCCTTCAAGACTAGGCAAAATATATTTAATCATTAGGATCATTTCCCTCCATCTTTGTTGCTGATGTGACATTTTATAAAATTAATAGTATTTAGATGAATAGCTAAAATAAAGAGAATGGTTGGAGTAAAAATATGAAATAGTTGATAGGTAAAATAAAATATCTACTTTATAATAATATTTAGATAGGTAAAATACTATTACCTTTGGAGATGCTCTTACATTTGCATAAAGAGAAAATTTGGAATAATGGAATATAAATTGTCATTTAACCTTTTTACCTTCTACATTTTTAATTTTTTTTTCAAAAGAGCATAAGGTAAGGGGGACACTTCTGATATTTTACAAAAGAAGCGGGGGCCAAAAATATGAAATAGTTGATAGGCAAAATAAAATATCACTTTATAGTAATATTTAAATAGATAAAATACCTATTACCGTTGGAGATGCTCTTACATTTGCATAAAGAGAAAATTTGGAATAATGGAATATAAATTGTCATTTAACCTTTTTACCTTCTACATTTTTAATTTTTTTTTCAAAAGAGCATAAGGTAAGGGGGACACTTCTGATATTTTACAAAAGAAGCGGGGGCCAAAATGAAATCCCAAAAAAAATCCATTTTTCTTTTTTCATTTAAGTCCCCCGACATTTCCCTATTTCCTCTCTAACCCCAAAACCTACATGAAAAGTTCAGACTGCAACAACGTATAGTAGTTGGCAGCTTCATCATCCAACTCCCACAACCCATCACCACCCAACGCCACCTCGTCTCCGCTGTGGACCAACTCATCGCCACCGCCGTCCGCCCTATTGGGTAACCCAAGCTCATCGTCAGAAGCTTCGAGAAGGTGTCTCATGAACCTCTCAGTCTCGTCTTCTTCATCGTCTCCCTTCAAACCACCATGACTGAACTCTGAGGTCGCCGTGGGGAGAGATGAAGGCTCGTCGGAGGTGGCGGAGTCGCCGGAGAGCTCTCGTTGGAGGGTGGTGAGTATAGAAGAGAAGTCCAAGTTGGGTTCGTCTTCTTCGTCTTCAAGGAGAGAGAGTATGTGGGTTAGTGATTTGTGGCGTTTTGGGTCTTGTTCATTGTCTTCCACGAGATGGGTTTCTTCTCTCTGGCGTTTTGATGGTGTTTCCGACATCATGGAGAGAGAAATAACAGAAAGTGTTTTAGAGATACAAAGAAGGGTGAATGGGGAGAAGGCTTGTTGTGTAGAGAGAGAGAGAGAGAGAGAGAGAGAGAGAGAGTTTTTTAAAAGAATGGATGAGGAGAGAGAGAAGGGGGCTGAAAGGGTTTATATAAAGGGGGGAGTAAAGTGGGAGTTCTGGTCAATATTTAAACCCCCCCCAAAAAAAAAAAAAAAAAAAGTGGGAAGGTATATATTTTAATGGATTTCAATGTTTTAGAGGGAGAAAAGGCCAACGATTACTTTTTCCATTTTTAAAATTTTTTATTTATATAATTTGTCTCAAAAGACTCAAACTATTCACTATGTTTTGTTTCATTTTTTAAAAACAGTTTTTAGACAATTTTATTTTATTATTTTTCATATTTTTTTATTTTTATTAGTAAAATTTTTAAATATTTTATGTAAATTTTTTATTTTTTAGATACACTTAACATAAATACACTTAAAAAGTAAAAAAATTATAAAAAAAATCTTTTAAAAATTCACTAAATACCATAAATACAAAAAAATACAAGAATTCAGTACATTTTTTGTATTTTTATGTATTTCTAAATTTTTAAAAATATTTTTTCACATTTTTTTTATTTTTTAGATATATCTAAGTAAGGTACATCTAAAAAAGTACAAAAAATGTTTAAAATTTTAAAAATATTCACTAAAAACAAAAAAATACGAAAATCAAAAAGCTCAGTTTTCAAAAAACTTAATCCAAAAAATTCAAACCAAACACACTGATTTTGATACATTTGATGGAGTTATGCCACAAATAGGAGTGTAATTTTGGCCCGCGGCGTGGGTGGGCCTGGCCCGTTAAGGCCCGAGCCTAAGCCCAGCCCGAGGTCTTGGGCCAAGGCCTGAGCTATCGTTTTGAAGCCCAGCCCGGCCCGGCCCGCTTGGCCAGGCCCGTCGGCCCACTCAAGGCCCGGCCCTCCAGAGACCCGGTGTTATTTTTAATGAAAAATAATAAAATTTTGGTAGAAAAAATTAAGAATTAAAAAAATTGTTTAGGCCCTTCCAAAGCCCAAGCCTAGGGGCCTGGCCCACTGGCCCGCCCAAAGCCCGAATACCCCTAGGCTTGGGCTTGGGCCTAGGCCTAGTTTTCTGGCCCATGGGCCGGACCGGGCCAAAATTACACCCTTAGCCACAAACACATAGGATGTTTCGAAAAAATGGTTAAAAAGTTATTTTTTAAATTTTTTAGACTTTTTATAAAAGAGGAAAGTGTGTTAAAAGTTAAAAAGTGTCTTTTAACACACTTTCTAAAATGAGTCATACTTTCAATGCAAACTTGCATAATATAGATATAGAATAAATTTTAAAAGTTGGTTTAGTGGATGCAATTTAAGACTTATGAGTATGCTTTCTCTAAATCTCAAATTCAAGTTTCAATAAAACAATTTGCTCTTTGAAGTCGAAAATGGTTATGGATTCTAAATAAATTATCAAATTTTTTACTAAATTTCTCATATGGGTATGAAATCTACACAAATCACATATGTGTCAATCCTATACTTATATGAAAGATTTAATTAAAAATTTAATAATTTATTTAGAGTCTCTAACATAATTCCTTTGAAGTCATGCACATGAGCTTTGTCTTAAATTTCCCTGATCCACATAGAGGAACCTTTGCATAGTTTTCGAGATTAGAGTAGTGTTTTGGTAAATGACTTGATGACTATGTAGAACAATCGCATGAATGGCAGAACATATGAAGAAAAGTAGTGGCAGAGGTTTCAAAAGTTTTATTAATGTGAAATATTTAATAAAATTTTTGATAAAATTTTTAAGATATTTAGCATTTTGTATGAAGAATGAACGCATTTGTTATTGGAAAAATAGTAAGAGATAAATTTTTTTGGATAAATTACACTAACACTCTTTGAGGTTTTTGTTTAATACAGTATATAGATTCTTTTCTCACGTTTGAAAAATTACACTTATCTCCCTATCAGATTAAAATGACATTTTTGTCACTTAACCTTTATACATATAAAATAATGCTAATATTTTGTTCATGTCATTTCGAGAAAAATAACAATCATCTTTCTTGATTTAACTCACACAAAAAATTGTGTTTTTTATTTTATTTTATTTTTACTGATTTTTTTAATATTTTAAGTATTTTTTTTTATTTTTTAAATACACCTAATCTAGATATACTTAAGAAGTATAATATTTTGTGATTTTTTTTTAAATTCACCAAATACAAAAAAAAAAATATATAAAAATACAAAAATTTAGTAATACTGTAATAAGTGTGGATAATAATATTTGATAATACTATAATAAATGTAGGTGAATAGACGAGAAAGAAAAATAATAGTGGAAATAAAAATAATTTTTTTTATTCATATATAAAAATTTATACAAAAAATATTATAAAAATGTTGTGATAGTAATATTGTAAATATAAATCATGTTTATGGTATGTTTTGTTTTAAAGTGAAAGATCACCATTAAGTTATATTATTGTGTTTGAAAATTTTATATAAAGTTTATGTTTGTATATTATCACTCAATAATAATATGTTCAGGTAGAATTTAATGATAAAAAGTTGTAGAATGTAGTCTATGGACACCCCATTTTTTACCGCCCATAAGGCTCGAGCGCTTTACTCAAAACACTCGATGATGAAAAGTGGTATTGTGCGTGGTTCGAGGTCTCTATGAAGGAGTCTTGTTCAAGCTTCGAAATAATCCCAAACCTTCCATATTCCCATTGATCATACCTAAGAAATCCCTTTGTACACCTTGTACCACCCTATATTGAGGCTGAATCAGAAAAAAACAGGGAAATTCATTGAGGCCCAGCCATACCTCATTGAGAGCCGGCCGACCTTTAATAACGAGAAACACTGTTTTGGGTGGGAGGCCGCCAGCTATCCATTTTTGAAGATATTTATCACCTTTGTGCTCAAATTTTATAAATACGACCATATACCTTTGTTTTGGGGGTTGAACAATTAAGAGAAAGCCTATACACATAGAGAGAGCTCCTTCTTCCTCCTTATTCCATTGCAAGCTACCTTTGAGTTAGCCTACCAACCTTGAATCATCTGTATACACCATACACAACCTTCACTCATCATTTTGGAGGCTTGGTTGACCCTTGAGAAGCATAATTCAAGCTTGAGAGTGTGTTAAGAGTGAGTTTGATCATCAGCCAAAGCTTACTCCATTTTGATAGGTATAAGCTTATAACTTTTGTTCTTGCTTTTGCTTACATCATTTCTACCTATTTCTTGTATTCTTGGGTTGTTTTGCATCCATTTTAAGTGTTGGAATTTGGGTTTGGATAAGCCATCAAAGGTGGTAAGGTTAACACCCTTACTTGCACCTATTTTTATAGCTCAACCCTTGGTTCCTTTACACTCTTTTTCTTTGATTTTTAAACTGATTTTCAGAATTGAACTAAGGCCAAAAAATATGGTTTGAAGTCTTAAAATTGGAGGGCTTGGCTAGCCCTCCTTGTTTTTCCTTACATAGCTTTGGTGTCTTTACCTTTTTGTTTAGTTTTTGAGCTCTTTTCTTACATTTTCAGCCACTATTAGAGGCTGTTTTAGGGTTGTTCTAATCTATTTAGTTGATTCAAGCTTTGATTAGTTCATTTGTTGTAGCATTGGTCTTTGTACATAGCTTGTATTATATTGTTCTTAACTTTTCTTTGCCTAACTTTCATGTTAATGACCTAATTTTAAGAATAAACTTGCCACTCCTTTCTTTCATTTGAGAGTTGTTTCAATCGGTTGATGGTTATTCAACACATGAACTAGAGATTCACGTTTAATGGCTTAATCTCTACGGAGATTCATTGTCAACGGCATGATCTCTGTTTCATGTTGAGAATTACTTCCCGTTTGATGCTTCAATGCTTTAGAGGACTTAATCATCACTTCAAACAAATGGACTAAAGAATGAAAATGACTAAGAGAATTGGTTTAAAAACAACCAACACACATAAAGAAAATGAGTCATCTTGCTTGGGCTTGGCCGGACATTATGCCAAGTTTATCGAGTCAAGAGTGATCATACGCTAATTCATGGCGTTTTAATGATTCTTGAAGCGTCTTTACTTCCTTTTTTTTGAGTTAATTCCATGATAAAGAGAAAGGAGTGGTCATATTCATTGCATTCATTGATTCTCGTCCGAAATTGTATTCGAAATCATCAAGCAATCAATTTGCTCATTGATGGCTTTGGAAACAATTTCAACCTTCTCTCGAGGCTTTCCCATAACGAAGAAGGAAGAAAGGGACAAACAGAGCTTGAACAGCTCTGTCTGCACTGTTTTCACTTCAGAACACAAAACAAAGTTTTGCACAAAATTGAGGCACGGCCGGCCTTCTCTAGGCCTGGCCGGGCTTCATTGAGGGCCGACCAGCCCTCAATGTTTGGTCAGTAATGTACTTTTGTAGAAACAGAGGGTAGTGGCTAAGGTGAAACAAAGTAAGCTTGGGGTAGACAGAGCTGTTCTTGAACATTGTGCATATGCATGCATGCAATTCTTGCGCATCCTCGCCCACATTGTGATCATCGTTGTTGTAATTAATTTAATATTGTTTGTTATAATTAGTCTCGTTAGTTATTAAGTGTTGTAATAATTATTATTGTCCTTTTGTAATTGTTATAGTTAATTGGTTTAAATAGCAAGTTTATTTATCTTGGTCATCCTTGTTGTAATAGCATAGTTAGCTAGTTAATTAGCCTCACTTATTTATTCATTCGGTTTTGTAATAATTAGTTTAATTCGGACTTTTAGACTTTGATTCGCACCCTCTTGCACGAGGGCAATGTTGTGATAAGTTGTATGCCTTCCAACTCCACGTCTTTCCCCCTTTTACTTATTTGCTTACGATGGTTAGTATAGGGCATCACGTTTCATTACCATTTTTATGATTTGCATACATCTAAGGTTCGGCTCATCATGCTAACCCAATATCAAATTGTTC